TTTTGACCCATGTCTCTTCCATGAAGAAATGCACACACATTCTTCCCCGGACAAACTCTGAACATGAGCAATTCTCCATGCTCACTCTGCAGCACAGATGGCTTACTAGCCCATCTTGTGATTTGCCAACAGGAGGGTAGGCTTTTTTCTTCTTCCTACCCAGGGACATATTTCTGATGAGATGCACTCGTGTCTCCTCCTTTTATGTGACCCCAACTGCTTTGATGATAGGAAATGACACTCCACCTTTCTTTTTTTAAAGATGTACTTATCCACACACACAGAACTGGGGTATAGGCCAGAGGTGCAGGGGTGGTGGGAGGATTCACCAGAGATAGAGTGGGGAACAGAACAGGCAGATTGACAGAGTACACTGCTGAGGAGATAGGAGTGGTCTGCTGCAGCACCTCCACCTGCAGGGTGGGCTATTGAGGGATAGTGGTGTCAAATCTGCATTGAAGCTGAAGTGTCTGAGGCCAGCTTGCAGCGCTGCATCCTAACCTGTTGCACCACCACTATACCTTTCTTTAGACAAAACCCCTCCAAATATTTTCCAATCTCCAATAATCTTTATGTGATCTAGTGATTCTTTTGGAATGTAGCACCATTGTTTCTTGGTATCTCAGTCAAAACTTTATTTCTAACACTTTTTAAGTGTACTGTGGGTTTTGTTTACTTGTTTCAAGTGCTAATATTAGAAATTTGTTATTTGGATGAAATTTTCCACCCTGGTTATACTCAGTAAGGAAGTGCTCCATTAGAACAAACCTCTAACATCTCTGACCAGCCCTGTTTTCTGAAGGGAAACAAAATGAGTCTTTGCTCAGCAGTGCCTGAAACACTTAGAACTTTTCCAACTGTGGCCCAGGAGAAAAATCAGCAATCCCAGGACACATGGGTCACATAGCTCTCACACTGCTTGGAGCAGAGAAGGAGCACAGGATTCCCAGACACATGTGTGGGAGGTCTTGTCCATGACCTCCTCACCCTGGTTATATTGAAGCTATAAATGTCCTGCAGAGTTATTAGTGGGAACTGCTGAGTTTAGCATGTTTGAGGACTAGAAGGACTGAGAAGGACTCCAGAGAGCAAGCAGATAGATACACCTGAGGAGCCAGGAGCCAGAAGGGCTGAGGGCAGGAAACAAGAGTGAACACT